CGAGGCGGACAGTTAACAATTGCAAAGCAACATCTCTGATTGATTAAAAACAAATGTGTGAATACAAGTTTTTTTATATAATTATCTAGTATGCTATTGTATCATTTATAAGATGTTGTACAAAATCAGGGTTGTCGACTTAAAATAAGATAGTTTTCTCTTTTCAAAATTTCAGAAACTTTCTCTACTCTACTCGATTATTCTATATATAAGAAATAATTATCTATTAATTAAATTTAATTAATCGTTGTCAACGCGCAAATGCAGGTGTTTTATATTGATAGTAATAGGTATAATATAATAAACAAATTTTTTGTACAATGTTAAAAAAAAGTCGTTACAAACGTCGTATTGCTTTCTAATGGCGTTTCAGCACAATACGTCATAAATTAGTTGCTCGGACAATAAAGTTTCGTTCTGCTTAATTACTAACAAAATTGGTATAATGTATTTATAATGCTAAACTGAGCTGTTGGTATATTATTAGATATTATTATTCTATATATTATTAATATTTGTGTTTACTATACGATAAAACATAAGGTGTGTATAATGGTCGTTTAATAATATAACATTGTCTTTATACATATGCATTTATATATATGTAAATTATGTTACGAATAGCATATACGATACACAAATAACATAATACAATTTAATAATATAAATTTTGAAGATTTGTATGTTTTGCACTTTAATCTAACGCGCATAAAGAAAGTGAAAAGGAGGATAAAGAATTATGAATATTACATGTATAGCATAAAGAAATTTATGTAACAAAAGTTGGAATTTTGGTATAAGTATTAATAATAATATATACTACGCCAAAAAATTAAAAGATCATTTACTTTGCATTATAAAAATAAACAATTTTAAAAAAAGTGCAACTTTATTAAAAATGATCATAATAAAATGGTCCAAAATGCTTGAAATCTTTAGTTTTTAGATTGTTTATTTAAATAAGATCTAATCTTAAATAAGATTTTTTATAAAGTTATACGCATACAAATTTTAAAATTTTTTACAAACTTCGCAAAATTCTAGAGTAAATTAAAAAATTTCATACAAAAGTAATTTGTAAAAGAGAAGTGCCATATTATGGTACCGCTTGACTTAGCGCCGAGACACTACCATGCCTCCAGATTAATGCTGAATGAGTTATAACCTATAATAAATTTTTGAAAAAATTTTTTTATAGTTAGGCTTTGAAATAATGTTTTATAAATGATTTAAAATCAGACAAGATCGATAATTCCTAGCGAAGCGTGATTTATAATGAAGAAAGATTAAATTTACTTTCTGTTCTCATTATGTATTTATTTTATCAAAATAATAGTTTTGTGTTTTTTGTTGTATGCTTTTTGATATTTTTGTACTTTAAATAAATTAATGATTTTTTAAAGATCTCGAGAAAATTAATTTTTAAATTAATCTAATATAATATAACCCATTAAAAAATTATTACTTACCACACATCTTAACTTAGCTTTACGAAAAGTGTGCGGCAGTCGTGCTTAGTTTTTCTGTGTGTCATATGGCCCTAAACAAATCAGCTAATTATAGTAAATAAAATAAAATAAAATAATAAGACCATAAAGATAATGACATAAGCAGTAACAAATTCAAAACGTTAGTTTGTTTACTACTAACATCTTACTACTTTTGTTTATTACTATATTTACATTTTTTTTATGTGTTATAGCCTTTAGCCCGGATCCTTATGCAGACACTGATACTTTAACATCAACCACTGATTGATGAAAAATGAATTATGGGATTTTAAATTTATCCTTATCATATTTTTTATCAGTTACGCTTTGTACATATATTAAAGCGTCTGCATGAGGAGATTCGGACTTATCAATCTAGTAATAATAGTATAAATAATAATATCTTCTCACGTCTGAGCATTGTGGTTCATTGTGTCGACAAGATACCATTAAAGACAGCTAGCCTTAAATAAATTTTCGTGATCAGTAAGACTCGAGGAGTCCAAGGATAATTAAAGAACATCATCAATTGATATAACTGATTAATTACAATTGATATATATTTACTTATTATATAGAGATGATAATTGTAGAGAAAAACATTGTAATTTTGCGGCAATATATAAAATATTATAGCATTACAAGTATGCATACTTATTTATGTAGCATTTATATAATAAAAATAAATTTAATAGTGCATTGATGGTCAAATGCACTTGGACAATAACATTAAAATTACAGTTTTAAATAAAAATCGAATTTATATGTATATATTAAGTTTTAATCATATATACATGTCTACAAAACTAATAAATTATAAAATTAGTACTATTATTAGTTTCTTACTCTTAGGTTAGATTGTTCCACCTTTCGATAAACTTTAGCTCACTGTCTTACTCTCTTATTCTTTTACTCTTTTGTTTATCCAGTAAATAAATTACCACATAGTTTATCCGAAAATGGAACAACCGATCCTTAATCACTTATATAAACAGTCATTCAAAGGATCGTCCGTCTTTAATAGTATCTCATCGTTGATGCTTGGATCCACAATTTTTTAAGAATTGAATTGTTTAAAATTCTTTCAGTCTTTGATGAAAATAAAAATCGAAGCCTAAGTCGAATGTAAGAGTAGTAGAAGCATAAATGAAGTTTTTAGGAGACGAAAATTAAAACAACGGAACGTAAAAGAAGTGTAAACATTACATTCGACTTTTATTTTACATACGACTTTTATTTTAACATTACACTCCGATTTTTATTTTCATCGGAAATGTCTGAAATCTTGAACCGGCTTTTAGCTTTAAAGATAAAAGTCATACTCTGTCTACGCATGCGCTCAATTTTATATTTTGAAATAAATCTTGGAGATAAGTACTTACTACAGCTACTAATTTATCTTTAAAACAAATTGGAAGAAATTTGAAGCGTTGTAGTAAGCAGGAGTTATGAGCAACGACCGGATAAATAAAATTTTATCTTTTTTATTATTTTATAACAAATATTATCCCTCTAACAAACTCAGCTTTTGTAAAAATAAAAATTATCAAAATACTTTTATATACAATAATTCGTCGTTTATTGCTTAAAAAAATTTTATATAATAGCACCATAATTATTCTTTATATATAATATAATGTTCATGTAATTAGCATAATTATATTGTATAACAATATAATTACACAAAGTCATGAAAACCAATGAGTTTTGTTATGCGATCCGCGCATGTAGGAATCTTTAGTTTATCTCATATACATTTTCCGATGGCCAGTTAATATGTTGATGGTCTCATGGAGATTAAGACCTCAGAATTACGTATGTAGGAGAATAATAACGCAGTATAAACTCTAGATAAAATTATATAAAATGATACAATGTAAAACATGTACATTGTAAAGTTGATGGTATAAATAAAATTAAAAACGGACAACAATATTTACAGTTGCGAGTCACAATATACACGTTTTATACTATATCAGTTTATATAATTCTCTCTTTATCTTTCCCTCCCTCCTTCCCTCCTTCCCTCCCCCTTTCCCTTTCTTTTCCTTTCTCTCCACCTCTCACTCTTCTCCCCTCTACCTCCACTATCTCACTTTTTCCCCTTCTCTTTCTAATTTTCCGTTCCCTACATCTATATTAAAATTACAACTTTTATTTTAAACAGTTATATGATGAGACATTAACATGCATAACAGACTTCTTCGATGTAGGCGTTTATTCAAAAGATTAAGATAAGATGAGAAAAATAAAAAAGTTTTAAAATTTAAAGTTTATACTTTAATTTTTCTTCTGATAAAGTTCTCTATAATAATTTATTTTTAAGTTACAGATTTTACAAAAAAAAAAACATTTCTTTTTTATAGTATAAAAAAATTGTCAAAAAATGTTTAAAATACAGATTTGTTGGAAAATGAATGAGCTTAAAAATACCATAAAATTTTGTACCAGATAGCAAATTTTCCTGATCAGCGCAATAAAATTTGTTTTCTATTTTTTAAAATCTATCCTTTAACATCTGTCATTTCTTAAATCTTTTTTGTAATTCTTTTTTTTGTTCTGCTGGTTGTTAAGAGAAATATTTGAGTTTTAATTTGAATTATTATTCATCCTAATATAATGATATTTTGCTGTGTTGTCGCTATTAAAAAATGTTACAAAATTATATTAAACTTTGATCCGTTTTTTGAGTGAGTATACTTCTTATTTGAGTGAATATACACATGAAATGATGAATAAAAAAATAATTTTGATGGCATGTACAATTATATAAGGATATAACTATTGAACGGTTTAACAGTACTACCAACCTCTAAAAGCTTGCCAATATTTTGTCTCCCGTATGCTTTTGCCTTAATATTAATTATTATTATTGAATTTTCCTGATTTATATAATTTATTTATTGTTCTTATTAAAATTCTATAATACAATAATTGAAGCGTTATTTACCCTTAAATTTCTAGATTTTAATACTGACTTTTTTTCTCGAAATAAAATTTAAAATGTCTCTTATTAAATATATTTTTTAATTTAATTTAATAACTCTTCAAAATAAGATACAAACGATATGTAAAAACTTAAAATAATCTAATATTTTTATTTATTTTATCTTTCTTTATCTTTATCCAGTAGATATATATTTAATGTACGACAAGACATTAAAATAAGGCCATTTCTTCATTCTATCTTTTACTTATAACAACTTGAATAATGTTTTTACTAAAATTCATTTAACATTAAAATCATTTTCAGTCATAAAATATATTGTAGTATGCATTATATACTTTGTATTTTTTAAATAAACTGCAAGGCATTTAGGGTTCATAGCAAATCGATACCGATTTATTAAAATTTCTACATAACATACTTCTAACATATTTCTACATAATATATTTCTAACATATGTTTATTTAGTCTATTGCTATTCTCTACATCTAAATATTCAATTATTAAAAATTGGAGCAAATAAAAAACACATATATGAAATTCTCTCTAGTTGTTGTATTATATAAACACATTGCGAAAGCCTTATAAACACGGCCCTGAGAACAAGTTTAAGATTTCGCCGACAGTTCGTTCCTGGATATCTGCCAGGACACATATATCTTACATCTATACAGTTAATTTAAATTTATCTTTGCTTTTATTCGATAATTGATCTCGTGCTGGACTTTGCTTGAATGGGGGGAAAAACAAATACATTTAAATATAAATACATATATGATAAAGTACAGTTGTTACATAGCCGATCGATCGTTGCAAACGTCTGTAATTAGGTAGGTATAGTCGAGCTTGTCGCAGGCGTATTCGTCAGTTCTCACTTTCATTGTTGGAAGAAAACATGTTCTACTTACTATATAGTTTCTACGCAACAGTCCGGAAAAGCATAGTTAAAGTGTAATCTCGTAATCTGGAAAATTCAAATCAAACGCAAGCATATGTTCGAAAAATTTTTTGTCATAAACTGAAATTTTATACAACATTTCTAAAAATATATATATATATAT